CGTATCAATACCACGAGTTTTCGTTTTTATTTGGCGTACTATTTATACGCATTTTCATGAGACCGGGCTCAATTTAACGTAACTTTTTTGTTTGTTTCATATAAATAAACAATGAATATTTGACTTTAAATGCAATCTGGCATCAACGAATCAGCAGAAGTTATTACTTCACATAACATCATTAAAGTCAGTTCTGTATTGTTGAATACATCTGGTTCAAACGATGGAGGTGCGATCATATTTCTACGGTTTCAATACTAGCTAGTTTCCCAGCGATGCATCATTATGGAAGTCAAGAGTGTTGTCGTGTTGAAAATGCACCCCTGAGCTGTAGACTCACCATCTGCCTCTCCCTCTTAGGTACACTGTTAGACATTTCAAATAAAAAATGTTCCGTGTTTGTTTCAAAGAAAAAAGGTTCTGTGTCTTCCTCGGATGCGAAAGGCACGACGCGACAAAAGACAATATAGAACCCATTATAATCAGCGATACTATCTACAATGGATGCGGACAGTAAAGCGATGCCCCGTGCTGTTTCTGACACGAAGGGCAAACGTATTTGCCAATCATTACAAGCGATGTAACACGTCCAGTATAGTCTGTCCCAAGCTGTTGCGGCGTTGTAGACACCGATGCAGGGCAAATCTTGTCAGTCCAAATGTAAGAAGTGAGGAAAATAAAACAACCTCAATGGAATGGCGCCACAGAGCAAATACAGTAGTATACAGCAATTTTAAAAAATACAGTAAGTCACTGTATGTGGAGTTTGACGTCACAGAAATTTCCCATGATGCAAAGGGTATTACAGTTACTTACTGTAAATGGAATTTGCAGTATTATACTGGGGGATATACAGTAAATAACTGTAGAAATTACAGAAATGTCTAACAGTGTAGGCCATCATAGTTAGGTCAGCTGGAGTCCCCCTTTTCCACTACAGGAGATCCCTGTCATCTGCTCTGCTTTGATATAAATGGCGTAGAAATGTCTTACGTTCTCATTTCCTCTCCTCTGTCTGGGGAAATGCGTTTGAGGGTCAGTCCTTGACAGCCCAACCATATTATGCACCTCAAGCCATCTGTTTGAGCTCGGTTCACAGCTGATCCTCTTCAAACTGGCGCTCATTACCGCCCCTCTCTCAGACCCCAAACCTCCAGACTAACCTGAGATCGTCCTGTGCCAAATATTTAACCATGACCCATGTGGCCCAACAAAGCTATTCTTCAAGTTTACAAGAAGGACTACCATTTCTAAGACTAGGCCGGCCAGAGCTGGGAGTAACTGATTACATGTTATCTGGATTACGTAATCAGATTCCAAAAATGTAGTACTTGTAATTAGATTAAAATTATAATTTTAAATTATAACATTAAATTACGTTTTAAAATACTCATAACCAGACTACAGTTACTTTATTACATGATTACAGTACATATTATTCACACAATAGCAATGCATACCCTAATTCCAGATAAACGCAGGTAAACTAAATATTTAATTTCTTTAATACGTGTTTTATTTTGATTTATGTCATTTTAAAATTATTTATTTTAATTTGACATTTTTATGAGTTAGTTGTTAGCTTTTCATTAAACTCGCGAACCCCCTGCAGTTCCGTCACGGACCCGTTTGGGAAAACTTGACGTAATGTTTAATGCACTTCACATTGTTTAATTACAACAAATTGAATATATTTTCTTTCTCTTTGCATTTTTATATCAATATGGTATAAGATTGTCCCATTTTAAATCAATGTGATAAATGAGTTAGGTCAAAAGTAATCTAAAAGTAGTCCGATTATATTACCTAAAATGTTATGTTGTGTAATGTTATGGATTACATTACTAACTACAATTTGTGTCATGTAATTTGGAATCGGTAACAGACTACGACTTGTAAGTAATCTGGCCAGCTCTGAGCATGCATCTGTTCTCTGCGCACACGTTTCTTCCTTTATCAGTCAGTGGGAGTTTCTTTGGCCTGCCACGGATTCTACTGAACAACTGCACCTGCAATCCATGATATGCATGAAGCATTTTTTGTTTTTATTTATAGATTGTTGACACAATTGTTATACAAACTTGATTCAAAATGTATTTTCCCAATATCAGATACAGCAGAGTGATACAGTGTGCTTGAAACGAAAGGCAAGGGGAACAACTGAGGAACGATTTTGAGATTCTTGCAGAGAAATTAAAAGCAGAGTAATTTGATCATTGCTTATTCACATTCCTCTAATGATTGCAATATTGTGCAGAGATTGATCACATGATTCACCATTAGATGACCATCATTCTCTGCCACGACTGTTACATGTGCTGCTGTTGTGTCACAGGTTTTGAGTTCACCACTGAAAAAAGAATAGAATCGTTTTATACAAACACTGGAGGACCAGCTTTGGATTGGGTTGAGCTAAATAATCTTATTACAATAACACAGGCCATTTTTCCTGGTTTAGCCCATGGAGAACATCTTAGATTTGGTAGTTTTAGACATTATTCACAATAAACTTTTAAGCTTTCTGATTAAAGAGAAACACACTGAAATACTGAGAAGACAATTCTCATTTAAAGTGCATGCTTGTGACAATTTTATAAATCATAAACAACAAAAAAAGAGAAACAACTTTATTATTAGGACAGACTAAATTGTGGCACCATTAACAGTCATCTATAACAAATGAAAAGAGGTCAGTGAATATCCAGTGTCTGAACAGAAACTACAATCAAATTGTAAACATTTCAAACGAAATCAATCCTCTTAAGAGGCAATGTATTAGGCAGACAGCTAACCTTGGCATCAAGTCCTTTAATTATTCACATTACTTCACACACACATACTGTACACACACACACACTGTACACACACACACACACTCTCTCTCTCTATGGTTATAGTTTATAAGCGGACAGAAGACAAACTGAAATTATCACAACTAAAACTGAACGATGTGTATAGTGCTGCCATTGTGCTATGAATACAGGTAGAAAAAAACCTTTAGAAAAGCGGTAAGAATGAGGAAGAATCGGACATCAACAGCTGCTGAGACGGTGAGATTTACAATACTGGTGTCCTAAACAGCCTCATTTCACCTGAACTCGAGTTCACAATGTCCTTCCACACCTCTCTCGTCTTAAATGAAGTCCTGTACCACAACAAAACAAGTGAAGAGTTCATTTGCAAATACCGATAAACGCCACTTTAAAAAAAAGTGAGCCGATTGCCGTGCATTATTCTCCTTATATAGCATGATCTTAACCCTAAACACGTTTTGTCAAAAAAGCTGGTTTTGTCCACTTTCAAGCCATTGCGAGTTCACGTTTTACTGCAGAAGTCGACAAGCGCCTTGTTGTTTTTGAACAGAAGCCGATAAGTCCATTTCAGCGAATCAGCGCGCTGTATTCAGGTCAGGTGACAAGGCTACATTCACTTTGAAAAGACGTGCTAGCTGAGAGGAGTTTCTCAAAGCTGACAAAGTGATCGAGGAAAGATAATTTCAACGAACTCTTCTTCTGGGCGAAAAAGGAAAATAAAAGCTGAAACGTTTTCAAGGAAGCTTGCAAAAGCAGCGCGTTACACTGGTGAAGGAAAAGCTCAGTGTATTGCGTGTAATCACATCCATACAGTTTATGATCACAACTACAACAAAGTTAGTCAGGCATCAACATTGTCATCTGAGATTACAAAGAGTGATTTTTTTTAACTCTGAAACATGAAATATGGAGTTATCTGCTTTTGCCAAAAAAACGACTGTTGGTGTTATCTGCTTTTGCTATAAAACAAACTTTTAATATGTAAAAAAAAAAAAAACATACTTTCAATGAACTTTAATTTTGTAAATTACCTGTATTTGTTTAAGTTATTATTACTTAATCAAAACAACCCAACAGCAGTTTGATTGATATTACTTGGAATGCGCAAATAAAAAAAACGTGATTTCTGAAAAATGGAGTTATCGGTTTTTGCAAATGAACTCTTCAAGTGCACTCAGTAAACTGGGCCGACCAGCATCGCATTAAGCCACTTAAAGCTGCAGTCCGTAACTTTTTTTGGTTAAAAATGATCAGAAAGCAATATTTGAGCAAGTACATAACCAGCCAGTGTTCAAAACTATCGCCTTACTTTAGCCCGATTCACAACGGTTAGCTTATAATAATGTTTTCTAGTTTGAGTGGTACGGTTAGGTTTTCGCAGGAAATTCGAGCATGGCACTGCGTCATTACGTCATGTCTGTAAACAAAGAAGTTGTCCCTGCTATAGGCTATCACATGTGAGGATCCTGCAGGTGGCCGATCGTTTATAGCCTTTTCTCACAGCAGCCGGAATAATTAAATGTATAATTTTGATGGCGGATTGTAATCCAGAAAGGATTGTGTTTATGAAACACATGTGAATTAAATTTAATTATATTCCAGTTTCAAATGTGCTTCTGATTACAGATAGCCTGGGATTACACAAGATTTGTATTTTAAAGAAAACCAGTTTGAAGGGAGTATAATTAGCTTTTTGGGTTAAATGAATTTCTTCATATGAAATTCGTAGAGCATGACAATTAGATTAGACTGTGCAGAAATTGAAATCTACACGCTAATACATACTATACTCATAGTCACCAATGCTGATGTTGTTAACATTAATCATCTGAGATTAAAGTATTACAATAATAATAATTTGAATGGTTTGATGTGATAACCGATCTTTATATTTAATCACCATTGGTTGCAAGATTTATGGTAATGCTTTTTTCCTCAGTTGGTCAGAACAAACGTGGCAGACTTGTTACTTGTTCAGATGGCAATATACGGTGAAAATTCTTATTTGGGTCATATTCCAAGATGTAGGCTAGAATCTGTGATTGCGAAGTACAGTAAATATCCACACCGGTGCGGTGACTGACTGCCACACACACATACTCTTCAGAACATTAGATTCATCCACGCTGGAGCCACGCCGGAGCACAACCCACGCAAGCTAGATAATACCTCACACAGCTGCAATTCCAGGTTTTCAAACAGAGATGGCGACAAAGAGGCAAAACTTACGGACTGCAGCTTTAAATAAATGGTGCACATGAAAACCAGGACATCTGGGATTGCAGAACCAGGACACCACCACACTAGACGTTCCTTCAATCACAATCAAAACCAGCTTGAATGGTAAAAGCGGTGCACCACCAAACCAGTAAACCCCATCGACATCAGAACATTTAGCAAATTTGCTCTTGAAAACGAACCTGACAGTAGCTGCGTCTGAGAGAAATTCCCAACGCGAGTATGTAATATTGGCAATTAGACTAAGATTTCAACTACTTTGATCAATTTAAGACGCAATCTCTCTTTTGTTTAGCAGTTTAAAGAACTGTGACTATGCAATGCATGCAAAAAAAAATTCAACCAACTCTATTTAACAGCATATCCATAGAGGCTAAAGGCAAACACTGCAGAATGAAAGGGCCACAACATCATGACAAACACTACTTATTTCAAGACACAATAGTAAAGTGAGGTTGCATTCAGGAAACCTGGCATAAGGAAAAGAGAATCTCATGCAAGTATTCATTAAAATTAGCGAAGTATCCTACGACTTTTATCTCACTGTGACCCCAAACTGTGATCTTCATCTGAACACTAAAAAAGGCTGGTAAGGCAATCAGCTTTCATTTGATGTAGCCATTAGCGCGCCGAAATAAAAAAGACATGATGGTAGTTGCAGTAGGAGTTCAGTCGTGTAGGAAAAGGTGGAAAATGCTGGAGAATTTCGCCGAGACTTCTGTGCTTGTTGTGGTGGTTATCTGATGCTGGAGAGAGAGTTTTGATTGATGTTGTAAGTGGCCACCAGAGACGTGCCGTTGCTGGTCATACAGTCCTGCTGAAGGGCTTCGAAGTAAGATGCTTGCACAGGTTTGTGACACTGCAGCACACGCCGGGCATCTTCTGTCTTAAACCACTCTCTCTTCCTCCCTGAGAACAACGAGAGGCACCAGAAAACCAGTCAACATGACCGCAGTAATGCTGCATTCACGTGCAGTCAGAGTTACTGTCATTAGAAGAGGATTTTAAGATCGAGCTCTGAGCTGCTCCTATTTGTTCACGAAAACAGCAAAGAATGATCCACTGATGATTATTTTAGGGGAAAAAAGAAACTCATAGAAAACAAGTGCACCAAGTGTAATTGGCAAAAAAAAAAATTCAGAAATATGCATATCTTCAAGTTCAGCTGATGAGGTTGCTGCCACTTTATAAATAAATAACTGCAAAACATACTTTTTTTTCTTTTCTTTAGATCATATCCTTACCAATATTTACTGAATCCTCCCAGTCCTCCAGAACCTCGGTTACGATGAGAACATAGACATACGTTCTATGCTTTCGGTCTCGGTTCTGTAAAGAAAAACTATTTTTAACAGCCTCGCAGGAAATACTACGTCATGTATATAAGTATGCTATGCTATACATTATGTGCAATAAAGGGGTTAAATGGAAACATTACATTCTACACAATAAAAAATGGTCTCAAATGCGGTAAACCTCAGACTTGTGTGTAAAAGCACCCGACAGGGAAAGCTGTGTCAAATTATGTTTTGTCCATATAAATACATAATTCACTGTAATGTTATTAATGTTATTTTCATTATCGATTATTATTGATTAGCTGTAGCCCCAGTTGAAATAAAAAAATCTATAATGTGGCAGCTTTATTCTCTTACTTTACCCTATTTATGTACTTCATTCTCAATTTGACTAAGTCAAGTCACCTTTATTTGTATAGCACTTTATACAATACAGACTGTGTCAAAGCAGCTTTAGTGTTAAACAGGAAAATAGTTTGTCAGTAATGCAAGACAAAAACAGTCATTTTCCAGCTAAAGTCAGTTCATTGTCTTAGCACTACTATTAATCTTGAAACTTTGACTATTCTTGTTAGATGCCTATTACACATTTTATTCTCAAATCATGAATTTATTTATTTTGAATTTATTCTTGTTGACCTTGTTGTTTACCATCAGAAAACACTCAAAAACGCCTACCAATCTTCCTAATGTGCCTTTTACTCCCTCCTGTGGGAATAAAAACAGAGTGAAGCACTGAATTCAGGACATTTATAATGTACTACAACATTTTAAAGCAGCTTGAAACCTCTTATTTCAGCATATATCAGTTCTTTGCAGATGAATATAAAAAATATTTCAAAAGATGATTTCATAAACACATTTCATTACACCAAATACACAAAATAATGCTCTTTTTAGCAACATCATATGACCCCTTTAACCAATGTTGGTCATTACAAGAATTAATGTTAATAATTTAAATCTAGGGATGCACCGAAATTTAAATTCTGGGTGCGCTTGGCCGAAAACCGCATATGCTTCGTAATAATTATTATTTTATTAAACAATTTAAGGTAATTTTTAAAGACTTTTTATTTCAACTCAGTCATTTTAATGATACTGAATTTTAAAAAAAACACAACTCCATAAAATAAGCACACTTTTATTGAAAGTAACACAATAAAAAATATTAATATAAAAAATATATTATATTCATATTAAATATTATTATTTTTAATTCAGTTCTATGCAACAGAATCAGAAACAAATTTTTTTAAAACTAATTATCCAAATAAAGTATAGTCCTACAAAGCTATTATCATCAGAGCATGTGAGCAGAGCATAGCGTCATTTCACCAGATTGCCCAGAACAGCTGTACTACACCGTGTTACAGCACTGTAGCGCTTCTGCAAACAGGAACAAGTGTACTATACACAAATGACCTGACGGCGTCTTATTTGAGCGGACTTTGCTTTTCCGGTGAGCATGAGACGACTAGAGGGAGAGTTAATCCGGCGCAGTTTATATTTTCAGCCAAAAAAACATTTATGCCTGATCATTTTTGGTGGCCGAACTTCCGGTGCATCCCCAATTACATCGTATTGTACAGTCTGAGGTTTGTTCAAACTCCACACAGTTCTGAATTCTGCAGTGCAACAGATTGCACATTAGGGGTCCTCCACTGGAAACTCTCTGAGGAGTGTAATTTACAGAGATAACATGTGCAGACTAGGGGTGTGCGATATATATTGTCTGCAATAATATCTTAATTGTTGTTTTAACGATGTGCGATTTGACATTATCGAGTATTTTGCAAAAACCATTCAAAGCATCCCTACAGAGCGCACACATGCATCACACGCACACGTGAAGCCTATACTAGTGCGTGTGCGCATTTAGTGTGTTTTCTTTCACTGCATGATTCAGTCTATTCAAATGCATTTAGAATGATCACATAATTCAAGACATGGCAGAAAATTTATATATTTATACCACTTCATATAGTTATTCAATTTCACACGAAGAGTGCCGTTTTTCTCCAAAAATTACCATGATTACAAATGTGACATTGAATTCAATAAACAATAAGTTAATTAAGAGACTTGCATTTTAGAAGCCATATTGCTTGTTTTTGCTCTATTTCGCCGACAAAAATCATTCCGAATACAGCCACAGCGCTGTTTTGTGTCTCTGAGCAACATGACGATGTTTCATTCTTTAAATGATTTGGTTCAATCGCAATGACTCACTTATTAACAGTGATTTCACTTTTTCTTTCTTTTCTTTTTTTTTCATGTTTTAAATCATTTCAAATATCAGTAATACATGTGTGTAAATACATCTAAATGCCACGTCAGATGCAGCTTCTGTGTTGATTTAATTTACTCCGTAACAGCCCAAATGTCTTATTATTCTAATTCCCTGATTAAATGTAAGAATTTGACTCAAAAGATAATGGACACTTTTAGAAAAAATGGCTTTATAAAGGTAAAAATGCCCATAAAATGCAAAAATCAGTTTAAACTTATTGGAAAAGATTAATTTCTATCAGTATGAACTGACCAGCACACAGAATATGAAGAATATTAAAAACATTAGGAGTCAGCTGTCTTCGGCAGTCCTTAAGATATCAGCACAATAACACACTCAGCAAAATATCGTCTAATTATCATTATCGATAAAATCCCAGAAAATATCAAGATATCATTTTTTGTCAATATCGCACACCCAGGGTTTGAAATTAACACCCGCCAACCCGACAAATGCGGGTAAAAATCACCTGTGGCGGGTAACGCTGTCAGATCACTAGCCAGTTTGGCGGGTTACTTTTCGTAAGTTATGTTCACTCATTAATTTCTTTGGGAAGTTCATGCAAACCAAATCTGCGCAGGTTTAGCGCAAATACTGAACTCGTGAGACATCATGACATTATCGAGTATATTGCAAAAGCTAAACAAAACACACCTACAGAGGCGTGCATACGCGACGAGATGAAGTCTGGTTAGACCGACACACACAGGATTCAGTACGCGTGCGCATTTAGAGTGGTTCTTTCACTGCATGATTCAGTCTATTAAAATGCATTTAGAATGATCACAAATAATATCTAGAGACTTACGTTTTAGACACCATATTGGCTGTTTTTGCGCTATTTCTGTGCTATTTCACCAACAAAAAACATTCCAAACCCAGCCACAGCACTGTTTTGCGTCTCTGAGCAACATGACGTTGTTTCGTTCCTGAATGAATAAACCGTTTAAATGATTCGGTTCAATCGCATTAACTCACTTCTTAACAGTGACTTGCTGCCACCTACTGGCGGTTTTAATTTCACATTTAAAGTATCTTTTCATTTTTTAAATAATTTCAAATATCAGTATTCAACATTTCATGTTTTAAATATCAAAACATTATTTATGCATTTGTAACTGCAGGTTAAAGCATCCCATGTCCCTCTAAGCTGCATTAACATGTGTAAATACATCTAAATGCCACTTCATATTCAACTTCTGCAAAGATGAATTTTATTGATACTGATTTCATTTGTTTAGTAACAGCCTAAATGTAGTATTGTTATAATTGCCTGATTAAATGTAAGAATTTCACTCAAAAGATGATGCGCACTTTTAAAAAAAAATGGCTGCATAAAGATAAGAATGCCCATAAAAGTTCAAAATCAATCTAAACTTATTGGAAAAGATTCATTTCTATCACTGCTGTGAACTGACCACACAGAATATGAAGAATATCACAAACTTTAGGAGTCAACTGTCTTCGGCAGTCCTTAAGATATCAGCACAATAACACACTCAGCAAAATATCGTCTAATTATCTTTATCGATAAAATCACAGATAATATTGAGATATTATTTTTTGTCAATATCGCACACCCTTAGTACCGACACTAAATGATTTGCAACGGTCGCTTTGTCACGCCCAGTGTAGACGCCGCAAACTGTTGGTTTATTTCTGTCTTTTTTTTTTTTTGGCTAGTAGACATTATGAATGGCTTAAAATTAACTTAATGATTGAATGAACTTAAAAATTTAGTAGCCAAATTGGCTGGTGAGTGAAAAAGTTAATTTCAATCCCTGCGCACACCCCTAGTGCAGACCCAACACATAATCATTGTTTGTGAGGACCGCGCACCTCCTCGCACACCTCCCTGACAGCAGCAGCACTGGGCTCCTCCTCGGGCTCCATGCCTCCTCCAGGAACGATCCATCGGTCCGGATGACTGCTGCTGCTAAACCAGCAGCACCTGACACAGACACAGCACTGCCGTCAGAACAGAGGACATCATAGACCCAGCGAACTACAGGGGTGTCCCATCCTGCTCCTGGACATCCTGCAGAGTTAGGACTCCGCCGGACTGTGGGCCTCCAGGAACAGGTTCGGACGCCCCTGCTGTTCTATTACAACCAAACACGTTCATCCATCAAGGTGACGGGACATCCATCGTAATAAGTGATGATTATTAGCAGCTAGTGTAATACACTCATAAGCTGGAGTGTGTCATTTTTGGATGTTAAAATACGTCCTGCTATCCTGGCTTACTGTGCAACGGTCGAGATGAAACCATTCGTAATGCTTTTACTTCCGAGGAGTCTGAATGAAAGAAAACTCTAGGCCAAAGGATTTCAACGGTCAAATGTAAACACAAATACAATTTTTAATTTGAGGCTGGACACATATTTCTTGGTTTAGCGTCATAAACAGTCGATCTGCTTATTACAAAGGTGTTCACAAACTCATATCTGATTGTGAATAGTAACTGCTTACTGTTAGCAATAACCTTTGAGGACATACACCAGTCATAACCATAATTCTATAACATTTTAACAACACTGTAGCTACTTCTGTGATTGTTACTGTAGCCAGATCTGATATTAGCCATCACATAAAAAAGTAGTAAATACAGTGAGGGTATCAGATGTAGATAATAAAGTCAATGCAACTGTACAGATGACAGCCACGAGCCAGTGCATTTGATATTTACACCACACTGCAAGGTAAAAGCATGGGCTTTACACATGTAAATGCCCCCAAAATCAGGTTAAGAGTCCGTAAATATTTGAATGGGATTACAAAATCACTTGTGTTGTTAAAGTAGTAACAATAACTGGCATATTGGCGTGTACTCTAGTTCCCATTCAGTCAGTCACGTTCAACGTTACGTCAGTGACTGACGAATTGGGATCTCGCCCGAGAGCCCAATCACCTTCGAGTGTTAACTAAACAAGCCAATGACAGTTGGCGTGCGTGTTTCGCCACGCGCACCCCGCCCCGCAGCGCGGATATAAAAGGAGAGCGCGTGCAAACGCACATCAGCTTTTCGCTTCGGAGCCGAGCCTTCTTCAGGACGAATCTCCGCGAGTGTTCGAGAGAAACAGCTGGCGTTGGTGTGACGGCGTGTTTCGGGCCTTTTTCTGCCCGAAACAGACTTGGTGCCTCCTCCGTCCTCACCACCCTCGACGGGGGGGCGGCCCAAGGGTATGTGGACATCCCTCCGGTCGAGCGCGCGATTGCCATGCAGCTCTGCCCGCAAAGCGCCGCCGCCTGGAGAGGTAGTCCACGCCTTCCGTCCAGGGCCTGTAAGTTCTCGTCCGCTCTGACGGCTAAGGCTTACAGTGCCGCTGGACAGGCCGCTTCCGCCCTGCACGCCATGGCCCTCCTGCAAGTCCACCAGGCCAAGGCGTTATATATATATATATATATATATATATATATATATATATATATATATATATATATATATGTATATACAGTATATGTATATATTTTTATATATACATATATGTATATTCTTTTCAGACACCAGTCGCTTGTCACATTCAAATTGGTTGTCATAGTAACGACACTAATTCGTGGAGATTCAGTGCATTGAGTTCCACAAATCTGAATGCATTATTTGTAAATTGACTGTTAAGATAAACATTTTGCACAATTTATTATCTGTAATATCATTGTGTTGCCACTAGATGCCTGTATAGCCCGATGTAACAATCCCTAGTGGCTAAGACATTGCACATAATTTACACATAAATCACACATAAATTAATTTTATTACATTTGGATTTGGATGCATGTTTAGATATTATCAATGGCCACTTTTTTGTCTTTATCTGTTTTTTGTTAACATTTTTTGTTGTTGTTTCTTGAAACATTGATTTAAAGTGTCAGTTATTGCATTATTATTTCAGTCAAACTCTTTGTTACCCCAAACTGCATATAAAAGCTTTATCAGTGGCATAAAAGTAACCAATGCAGCTACTTAATTATTTGCTACTCGTTAACGCGTTAACGTCCCCTTTAAATAACGTGACGCTCTGCCCTCTGTGTATGACGCTGCTCCCATTAAGCGCTGTTGGAAGTGAATGAATTGATTCAGCATTTCGACACCTCCGTAAGGATGCATTTAACTTCACAAAGCAGTCTAATAAAGGATGTATTGATCTTGTTAATTAGCGAATTTTACTATGCAAATATTTTTTAATTGGATGTTAAAGTTTATATGGGAATATTCAGGGCTGTTTCTAGGCATAGGCGAGCTAGGCGGTCACCTAGGGCGCCACGAGCTGAAGGGGTGCCAAAGAGTGCACGTACTGGCACTTTTAGCAGGGTTGTGATAAAGAGTGGCACGGGCACCCTGAAATATGACTGCCGCCCCCACTGGATTCCCCAACATTATTGAGCTAGAGTACCGTCAATCTGACGATGCCTGTATGCCACTAGATCAGAGTGCTGTCAATCTCTGCCTGATTGTTGCATGCAAAGTTTGCATTTGGAGCGCCCAACAATGCCATTAGATCAATGGGCTCTGTCAGTGCTTTGGCAAGGTAACGCTTTTTTTTGGTCGAGTTAAATGCATTCTTACGGAGGTGTCGAAATGCTGATTCAATTCATTCACTTCCAACAGCGCTTAATGGAAGCAGCGTCATACACAGAGGGCAGAGCGTCACGTTATTTAAAGGTCTCGTTAACGCGTTAACGAGTAGCAAATGATTAAGTAGCTGCATTGGATACTTTTATGCCACTGATAAAGCTCTTATATGTAGTTTGGGGTAACAAAGGGGTTTTATAGGTTTGACTGAAATAATAATGCAATAACTGATACTTTAAATCAATGCTTCAAGAAACAACAACAAAAAAATTGAACAAAAAACAGATAAAGACAAAAAAGTAGCCATTGATAATATCTAAACAATATGTAGTAGTATAGTATATAGTATCCATATCAAAATGTAATAAAATTAATTTATGTGTGATTTATGGGTAAATTATGTGCAATGTCTTAGCCACTAGGGATTGTTACATCGGGCTATACAGGCATCTAGTGGCATCGATCAACAGATCGAAGTCCTCCACCGCCCACACACCCTTCTAAAGGCCCTCTGCTAACATATATAGTCCCTCCGTCACTTCATTTTGAAAGTCTAGTGAGCTCGTCTCACGCAGACGCCATTACGCTGAGCTCTGCGCAAACTGCGCTGCATAATATGGAAGGCGGACGGGGCCAAAAGTCTTTAAACGGAACGCGTGAAATGCGACCTTGTCAACACGCACAACTTGCCCGCGTTAACGTCTTCCATAGCATTACAGCCTCGAGGCGCGTTTGCTCTTTGTGAATATGGCGCTGCGCAGTAGCCAGGCTTCTCAGTACATATGAAAAACATTATATTTGGGTATTATGACTCCGACCCCTCAAACGAAAATGTTTTTTTTATAAAAAAAAAATTCCTAAGCAAATTTCACATTCACAAATGCAAATTTTCCAGCTGTAAACCTGTCTTTCTAAAAGAAATGGAAAATTATCTGAATGTAATTTCAGTATCTACTAATAAGAAAGCTATAAGGACTGATAGGATTTGCTCTGCCTGTGAGCTCTTCATGTAATCATGTTTAGATGATGGCCCTCTTATCTTTATTTTTATTTTATTCTTTTTGTGATTTGTTTCCATTTTATTTTGGTGGTTGATATTATGTGATGTATGCTTATTCTTTGCATGTTTCCGTTCTCTGCAATAAAAATAAAAAAAACGTGGACTACGGTTTACATATTACATAACTCCGGTGTGTTAACCGTAGAATCATGGTTTTATATGTGTGTATATATATATATATATATAATTTATTTTAAACCAAGTTTGTGTTTGCTATTATTATTATCATTTATTAAAGCATCCGTCATTGTGGCATGAATATACGTCTTTATAACTTGACAGATGTCACAGAAAGCTCCACTGTTGTCAACCTCTTTCAATGGAAACACATTATTAAAGTAGAAAGCCCGCTTTTTTTATTTTTTATTATAATATATGAAACACATAATGACATTAATATACTACATGCCAGGGAGCAAGATAATAATATACCTTTTAAAAAGATTCACAGTTTTTACAGCTTTCTTATTGGAAGAGTCAGAAATCAAATACATATACAGTTTGAACTCTTCCAGAAAAAGGTTAAAGAAAGGCGTACACTTACAATATTTACATTTGTGTACAAAATATCTGTCGAAAAACAAAATAAGATTGAGTAAATAAAAAACATCTGATTGTTCTCTTTCAAAATGTGTATAACCAGGGCTGGACTGGGACAGAAAATCGGCCCAGGCATTTCTTGGTCCAGGCGGCCCACCACCATTTATATATATATATATATGATATACACTACCAGTCAAAAGTTTTTGAATGGTAAGATTTTTTATGCTTTTTAAAGAAGTCTCTTCTGCTCACCAAACCTGCATTTATTTGATCCAAAATACAGCAAAAGCAGTAATATTGTGAAATATTTTTACTATTTAAAATATCTGTTTCTATTTGAATATATTTTAAAATGTAATTTATTCCTGTGATTTCAAAGCGGATTTTTTAGCATCATTACTCCAGTCACATGATCCTTCAGAAATCATTTAAATATTCTGATTTGTTGCGATTAAGAAAAAATCTATTATTTTTATTACGTTGAAAACAGCCGAGTAGAATTTTTCAGATGATGAATAGAACAGCATTTATCTGAAATGGAAATCTTTTGTAACATTATGAATGTCTTTATCATCACTTTTGATCAATTTAAAGCATCCTTGCTAAATAAAAGTAGTAATTTCTTCCCCCCTCCCCCCAAAAAAAATTATACTGACTCCAAGCTTTTGAATGGTATAGTGTATAATGTTACAAAAGCTTTGTATTTCAGATAAATGCTGATCTTTTGATCTTTCTATTCATCAAAGAATCCTGGAAAAATGTACTCAACTGTTTTAAATTTTGATAATAATAATAATAATAAATGTTTCTTGAACAACAAATCAGCATATTATACTGATTTCTGAAGATCACGTGACACTGAAGACTGGAGGAATGATGCTGAAAATACAGCTGCGCATCACAGAAATACATTACAGTTTAATATATATTTAAATAGAAAGCAGTTGTTTTAAATAGTAAAAAAAAATTACAATATTACTGCTTTTGCTGTATTTTGGATCAAATAAATGCAGGTTTGGTGAGAAAAGACTTTTTTAAAAAACATAAACAAATATTACTGTTCAAAAACTTTTGACTGGTAGTGCATGTATGTATGTATGTATCACACTCATATCACATCAAGTTGTTCTGGATAAGAATAAAACGTCAGGTTCGACAATATCGTGTCTTTTTGCATTTAAATCATCGGCAAAAAAAACAAAAAAATTCTGTCGGCCCCTTAAGTGCGTCGGCCCACCGGGAAAATACCCAGTATGCCCGATTACCAATCCAGCCCTGTGTATAACCCAGAATAACATTTTTCATATTTCAATGAAATTTCAGGAATTATACCACAAAAACTACTCAATGTTTTTCCCACAGATTCTTAGTATACTCACAATACAAATCTTCAGTTTGGAGACCACAGAAGGAGCAATTTACATCAAAATCCTCAGAAATAAACCTTTGTAAAAAACATTTTGTGGGATAGCACCGATGTATCATTTTATAAGACACTTCTTTTATCTTGTTGTACAAAAATAATTTTTGAGGCAAAACCCACACTCTAGCCCAGTTAATTTCACCTACATGTCTGTTCCAGTAAAAGATGGCATTCGGACAAGAGACAACCTCATTCTGGAACAGAGCACGAATGCTCCTATTATTTGATTTGGTGTTAAGGGATAATTTACCAACATATGTATCAAATACATTGAGATATGGCACAATCTGAGAGACCTTGTTATTAAAACCCTTCATAAACATAATACTCCCAGAAGGGATAGCTCCAAGAACAATAGCGTATTCTTTTGCTGTAACTGGGATTTTATAATGTGACAAAAACTCCTCATATTTTAAAGGAATCCCTTGGTCATTGAATAACTGACTCACTAAAATAATATTATTTTTAGCTCAATTATCAAAATAAATAGATTTATTCTTGTACAGCAGATCTCTGTTGTGCCAAATGCTAGAAATGTGTGGGGAACAATTATGCTTGTAGATTAAGACCACGATAAGAGACATTGTTTGTGAAAGCGAGATAATTTGGAAGGAATTTTGTCAGGATTATAATTGCATAAGAGCAAAAAAGCAATTATTGATTATAAAACAATCGGATAATCTTAATAATACATTTCTATCGCAAAATCCCATTCTTAAATGCAGATATAGTGGTGCTACACAGTATTGCTTCAACCTTTAGATCTGCAAATAAAAGCCATTGGAGTATGTTTGAGTTCTGTAAGAGTATAATGTGTGTACTCCTCCTCGAGTTGATTGTACCTGCGCTATATTCACCTGTATGATGATCGCATGCTTTTTTTATTATTTATTAACAAGATCAAAATACATGTATATGACAAACACTATTCATGAAATAAACAATTTCACACTAGAGGGGCTGTATACAAATACACATTTACGTATCTAAAAATATTAAAGCGTTTACAAACTTTCACCGTTTGAAAAGCTTTTTGTTTCATATAAAATCGTATAGTATCAATATAATGCTCCATTTCCTTCCTAAAAGAAAAAAAACAAGTTTTTTTTGCATGAGAACTTACATTTGTGAATATGAATAAGATCTGTGTGCTTTTCTTTGCTGTTCTCCAATATACCAAATAACACATCTTTCCATAACAAAACTAAATGACTATCAATATTTTGTACAATAAAATTACATACATTTTGCCAAAATAGTTTTTCAAAAGGGCAGTGCCAAAGCTAATGTACCACAGTTTCAGGACCACTGACACAAAAGGAGCAACTAATATCAACATCAGATTTAAATTGGACCAAATAATATTTGGCTGGGTAAATCCTGTGTATAATTCTGAATGATATTTCCTTAACCTTGTTTGTAATTAAATATTGATTAGGTATTAACCAAACCTTTTTCCAAACAATATTGTCTGTCAGGCGATTCCAGTATGAATAAACATAAGGCAAAGACACAATGTCTCGTTGAAATAAAGCTCTTACGGAACTGCTGTGTGATTTAAGAGAGAAACAGATAGAGCTTATTATATCAGGCAGAGACCCCTGTTTGGATGTGAATTCTTGTCTGATGTTTAAATAACACAAACTTCAGGAGAAACAGCCCCAAAGACTTTAGCATATAGTCCCCTGGTGTAACAGGAATCTTATAATGTGCCAAAAACTCACCATAAGTCAAATGAAAACCATTCAAATGAAATAACTGAATATGATGCCTTTATCAAACCAGTGTTTTAATAATAAAATGTAATAATATATCCATATTGTTCCATATATAGTACCTATGTGCTTGTGGATCAAAGACCATGATAAAAAGGCCTGACGGTGAAATTCTAATATTATAATCACAGCTAAGAAAAAAATGTACACCACCAAATTTTGATAGAATATGGGAGGGAATAAAACACCAAATGGAATTAGGATTTGTAACAATTAGTTTAAGCCAATTAACCGTACATGTATTATTTAATGTAGCAAAGTCCAAAACACGTAAGCCACCGTTTTCATATGAATTCATAATAACTGTCTTCTTTATGTCATGTATTTTATTTTTCCAAATGAAATCAATATTTTGTCAATATGATGATCGCATGTTTTTTTTTTTTTATTGATTTCCAACATATAATATAAAGGTACTGAACAAATATAAACTACAAAAAAGAAACAGAAAATATACAGTATTATATAAATAATAATACAGGTAAAAAATAAATAAATGATGATGTAATGCCGTAAGCGTAGCTCCTCCCTCCAGCTCCCGCAGGACTTGCTTCCCGTAAACACCGACTGGTGTTATAATAACTTACAGTCTCTTGCCTGAGTCAGGTGGGTTCGCTAGTGAGGTTCGACTGCTCATGAATCCACAGACATCGCGGTGTTATTATTAGAATTATCTTGATGACACTGATGCTGTTACCGATGATCATCACAGTAAAGCAATGCAGGTTAACACATGGTAGCAGATAATATCACTGAATGCGCTTTCTCCTTATAGTAGCCCTTTGCTGGACGTTTTGAATTAAATGTTATATTTCCCTAATATAAATATAAGTTGCATTTGTATATTAAATGACTGATGACAGTCCCGTTGCGCCATGTCAACTGCTGTAGAAAAAAAACATGCTGCTTTGATGTACAATATGATTATATGTTATTTCTAAACCGCGGTGCGTGAATCAATACCGCGGTATACGCTCACCCACATTGTATAATCATAATACAACATTCTCATTAAATGCTAAAAACGCTTATTATAGCAAAATGGCAAAACTATGCTATGGTTGTCTTTCCTACGGCTTTGATTTAAATGCTAATTCAATGCACGTTTTAAAACAGTAATGCGTTACAGTAATGCGAGTAAATAATTAAAACAGTTTGAAAATGAAATATTTAAAAACAAATTCTGTAATTATCTGAAATGGCCAATTCTACCTAAAATGAAGGATATTCAGTTTAGGATTATTAAACATGTGTATCCAGCTGCCCAAATTTTATGGACAAGATGCCGTTTTGAAGTAGATCCTTGTGTTTTTTGTTTAGAAGAGCCTGAAACCATTGAACATTTATTTTTTTTCTGGTCCAGTCACATTGAAGTTCTGGCAGGATCTTCACAGCTGGCTAAATATTGATATCAACACTGATATTCCATCACTGCATTTGTTTCAGCTTTTGGTTTTTGGTTGTGCAGGTGGTCTTTCGAAAAACATGTCATTGATGTTAAACATTATTATTACAATGGGTAAATATCATATACACAAAAGCAAGTGGAATGACAGTAAACCTCTTTAAATTGCTTTAAAAATGAATGTAAAAAATACTTTGAATCTTTAAAGCACTTATCCAAAGATAATCAATCCCTTGGGGAACTGTATATAACCATGTATGAGTCTCTTTCCTTTTAAGACTGGTAAGATTTTGTACCCTTTATTTTTTTATTTATATTTTTGTATTTTTTCTTGGAACCCCCTCAAATGTTTAAAGAATGCTTGTTTTGTTTATTGTTATTGTATGTAGAGACATGGACATTTATGTATGATGGAGATGTGATTGGTAAAGTGTATATTTTGTCATATGCATTTTATTGTTCCCCATTTGAGTGTGTAAATTGATACTGTTCGATAAAACAAAATGCTCTTGGATCTGACAGTCACTAGTGAGGGCAGAGAGACCATGTGGGAGTCACATGCGTGCAGAAGATGAGCCGGGAGCACAGCATGAACAGCACCACGCAGCCCCCTCACACCATCAGCGGAGACACGGCCCTCAGCTACGTGCTGCTGCCCGTCTTCCTCATCACGGCCCTCGGGACTGCTGCAGCAGTGGTAGGTGCTGGCGTGGCATGCATGTCTCGTCAGCGTGTTTCTAACCGTGTGCTAGCCTGTGGGGGAAGATTGTGAACTCGCACAACGGAGTCATTTGACTGAGCAGTACATATCCAGACAGACAAAAGGTCTTATGCACACATGTATTATGTTCCTATAGTAAAATGCTAATGTGTCTTCTTGTTTTATACTGTAGGTGATGTACATAAGGAGGAGACGGAGGTAAATAAACATACGCCGGCTCTCTTTGAAAGATATCAAATGTTTGGAATAATTCATTCCGATTGTTTGGAGAGAAGTCTCTTCTGCTCACCAAGGCTGCATTTATTTGATCAAAAAATACAGTAAAATAGTAACATTGTCAAATATTATAACAACTGTTTTCTGTGAATATGTTGTCAAATGTAATGTATTTCTGCGATGCAGCGCTGGATTTTCATTCATCATTACTCCAGTCTTCAGTGTCACATGATCCTTCAGATCAATGCTCAAGTATTAATAATGGTCCTTATCATTATCAATATTCAGCAGCACAGCCGTTTTCAATATTGATAGTAATCAGAAATGTTTCTTGAGCAGCAGTATATTAGAATGATTTCTGAAGAATCATGTGACACTGAAGACTGCGCCGCATCACAGAAATACATTACGTTAGACATAGTTGAAAATCGTAAAAATATTTCACAATATTACTGTTTTTAATAAATGCAGCCTTGGTGAGCAGAAGAGACTTCTTTCCAATACATTAAAAAATCATAACTATTCCAAACCTTTGACCAATAGTTTAGTTCACTCTAACGTTAGTAAACCCGTAAGGATGTCTTCTTTGAAACACAGAAGTAGATATCCACATAAGTGGATGATGAAGGAAATTAAACTGCCTGTGTGTCTGTGCACTTTCAGGATTGACAGACTGCGGCATCAGCTGCTTCCAGTTTACATGTATGACCCGACCGAAGAGCTGAACGAGGCGGAGCAGGACATTCTCTGGAAAGAGGAAGACACAAAGGTAATCGATCCTGTTATGAGATGAAAAACACTGATCTCTATTGTTGACTCCTACTGCACATACTGAAAGCAAATGTCAATCTGTACTCCACTGATATTAATGTTCATATTCAGCAAGGACAGATTAAATTGATCAAAAGGGACAGCAAAGACATGTATCAAATGTATCACGGTTTCCACAAAATCAATATAAGAACTGTTCTCAGCACTGATAATAATCAGAAGTGTTTCTTGAGTGATTTCTGAAGATCATGTGGCACTGAAGACTGCAGTAATGATGCTGAAAATTCAGCTTAAATTGCTCAAAATTATTTTAAATGCAAAACATTTTCAGGTAGAAAATGTTTATTTAATTTGCAATAATATTTTACAATATTACAGTATTTACTCTATTTTTGATCAAACAAATGCAGCCTTATTGAGCATAAAAGACTTTATTTAAAAAAAAAAATAAAAAAAAAAATAAATAACTCAAGATCAGTAATGCCAAATTTACACTGCAAAGGTGGTATAGAAGTGCTTCTGAAGTGGCATTTAGTTGTCTTTACACAGGCTGTTTAAAGCTGCTCAGAGGTGGCATAAATGCATTTACGCAGCAATGATAACCATATACTTTAATACTGGGGGCTGAGGTGGGTCAGAGCTGGTATTGTTTAGTACGGCTTTCATGCAGCATTATGATTTACACAGAATTTTGAGCAGGCACAGTGCACCCTTAACTCTGCTGTGTATAGAAGCCTTAAGTCACTTAGAATATTAGATAATTTGACCTAATTATAAAAAGACAAGGTTAGTTCATGTTTTAAAATGTCAGATTACTTGACTACTCAAAACATGGGGTCTTTCTTACTACAATAGCAGTGGCTTACCACAAATGCAGTGGCTGCATTGGCCCCTAATGACTTCCTCCCTGTCGCTCTCATGCCAATCATAGCAAAATGTTTAGAGAGGCTGGTACTCTCCCATCTGAAAACGTGCCTGCCCTGAACACTGGACCCATTTCAGTTCGCCTACAAACCCAACAGGTCAACTGAGGACGCCATCACCTCAGCTCTCCATACTGCCCTGAATCACTTATGAAGACTATGAATTACTATTCATCAATATCAGCTCTGCTTTTAATACTGTGTGATTCCATCTAAACCGATCTCCAAACTCACTGACCTTTGCATCAGCCCCTCTCTCCGCAACTGAACCACAGTCTGTTAGGATTAACAATTACAACTCCTCCATCCTCACCTTGAACACTGGCATACCACAGGGCTGTGTTCTGAGCCCAATTCTCGACTCCCTTTTCACCCATGACTGCGTACCTATACATGGTTGTACTCCATAATCAGGTTTGCAGATGACACCACGGTGTTAGGCCTGATCAGCGGCGACGATGAAACGGCCTACAGGGAGGAGGTTCAGCACTTGGCAGTGTGATGTGCCGACAATAATCTCGCACTCAACACCCAGAAGACCAAGGAACTGATTGTGGACCCCTAGGAAAGATCACACACACACACCCATCTACATTGATGGGCCCGAAGCAGAGCCTAGTTTCAGATTCCTGGGTGTACATATTTCTGTGGATCTTTCCTGGACCCTCAACAACACCTCCACTCTGATCAAAAAGGCACAACAGCACCTTTACTTGAAAGCTCACCTGTCTCCCCACATCTTGCTAAACTTTTATCGATGCACAATTAAAAGCATCTTAACAAACTGCATCACAATGTGGTATGGCAACTGGTCTCAGACCAGAAGGCCCTCCAACCTGTTGTTAAAACAGCCCAACAGATCACTGGTGTTCAGCTACCCTCCATCAAAGACACTTACCTTAAATGCTGCCTACGAAGGGTGAGAAGCATTATCAAAGATACCTCTCACCCCAGCCACGGACTGTTTACTCTTCTCCCATCTGGGAGACGTTATAGGACTCAGACTCAAGAGCAGTTTCTTCCCCTTAACTGTCAGCCTCATAAACTCTAAATTTAAATGCTGAACACTCTATTCTACTTGACCCATCTAAAACTATATATACAGCATCATCTGTTATTATTGTTGCACATTCCTTTGTACATTCTACCTCATGATGCCCATTGCACTGATATCGTCACTGACCGTATGATTATATATTTACAAATACCTAATTCTGAATAATGCACCCTCTGTGTTTTATACTTCTCATTTCCACCCTACTCTAATATATCCACATTGCACTATATTAATGTAGATTTAGATTGTATTTCATAGATAACTGCATTGAGCTGGTCTCTGCACCTGTCCATCATAAATGTTTATTGTACATACACAGTTTTATATATATATATATATATATATATATATATATATATATATATTTTTTTTTATATCATGATCATATATGATCATGTACTGGAGCAGTATTTTTTAGCAATATGCTATTTACACTGTTAAAATAGCAGTATTTCTACTATCAAGTATACTACTTGTTGCAAATAGTGGCAATTATCTGCACTTCAGTATTGTAGTACATTATAAAACAGTATGCAATAATAACGTATTGAGTGCAAATTATAATTTTAATTATTACATGGATGCCACATTATTGGTACAATAAAGCCCTCCCTACACCTACCCTAACCCTACCCGATACTTTATTTTCAACTTTTTGATTATTTCCTTAATTTTTATTGAAAATAAATGCCTTTACGATGTGATACGAGATTTGAAAAGGGAGAAAAAAAAGTTTGGCAAAAGGTGGGATCGAACCTGCGTCGATCGCGTCAAAAAGCCAACAATTAGTGCTTATCCATCTGCACCACTGGAGCTGATATTTACAGCCACATAACTAAATCTAAATAGACACTCCGTATTTTTTGATTGACAGATGTCTCGTCCAGTCAGCGGTGAGTAATCCCAAACCAATGGCGCTGTCTCAAACTATACCTACCTCTTCTGGTTTGCCTGATTTGTCGTTGTGTTTTCTGACTTGTTATAATGTTTTCGGATTTGTTGTTGTGCTTTCTGAATTGTTATTTTGTTTTGTAGACTTGCATTTGCGTTTGTAATTTGTTATTTTGTTTTCAGAATTGTGATTTGTTCTGCACCTCTCGGCCACCGTAGTTTTGAGACTTTAGTCTTTGCAACTTCAGGGATCTTATCTATGCTCAATCAGCTTGTCACACTCCAAAGAGAAAGGAAAGCTTGAAATCACATCATATGACCCCTTTAAGTAAAGATCATGCTCCATGAAGATATTTTGTACATTTCCTACTGTAAATATATCAAAACTTAATTTTTGATTAGTAATATGCATTAAGAACTTCATTTGGACAACTTTAAAGATGATTTTCTCAATATTTAGATTTTTTTGCACCCTCAGATTCCAGATTTTCAAATAGTTGTATCTCAGCCAAATATTGTCCAATCCTAACAAACCATACATCAATGGAAAGCTTAGCTTTCAGATGATGCATAAATCTCAATTTTAAAAAATGGACCCTTATGACTGGTTTTGTGGTCCAGGGTCACACACACACACACACATATATGTATACATGCCATTTGTCAGAATGTGGTCAACTATATACAAAATACTAAAACTTTATAACAAAATGAAACAAAACAACAGGGAAATGTCTTCCATGTGACTCTTACAAACATTTGCATTGACAACCACCGGTTTTTTTCTTTTTTTCTCCACGTAAACCACAAACACTCATGAACCATGTGATATATTTGTACTATTATTTGAATCAATTCAAAATATAGCTGTGAATATTTGTATCATACGACATAAATCATAACATCCAAGATTTTGGTCATTGTTGCATAACCTCCTCAGGTAAAGTTTATGAATGCACAAGAATTTCCGCAATAAGATAAAAGAGGAAGATCGATTCATATTATATTCATTGCGGTATTTCGTTAATTTTAGGACTGTAGAAAGTATACTATGTTTCATTTTAGTGCGAAAAGTATATTTAAGAAATGGGAGCGGAATTGAATGTTTTCACATTTCCACATATTTACAAGCACATGTTTGCAATGTTGCAATGAGCCTTTGTGATAAACTCTTTCATCGCTGTAATAAACCATATAAAAAGAAGCTTTTCTTTTGTGCATGTCCAGGTGGTGCGGGGTTGGATGAGGACGTATCAGCAGCGCAGATCCCTGCTCTCAAAGGATCCTGATGCATGAAAAAGCCTGCTTGAACTTCTGCACATAATCTGTGGACCTGGTCAATAACTAGTCACTCCATATACGGTCTCATCGTCCTGCATTGCAGAGTCACAAGATGGACAATTCTGAGCAAAAAGTGACTGATTTTCTGAGTCTAGAGGACCTTTAGTGACAAGAGAAATCTACAGGAGACTGAAGACTCGAGCGTTGGGATCATATTATTCCCTCTGGTCTGAAGCACAGCTTTACTCTCTGAATAGCAAGACTCAAGCGGGATGTTGATTCGCCACAGTGTTAGTTTTTATTTATTTTAGCTGTATGTTTTCTGCTGAGGTTCTGTGCTAGTAAATCCTCGTGAGAGCTGTTCATTTTATCGAGTGTGCATGAATGTGATGTGCTCAACCAAACTGGGTTATCGTGCTAAACCGTCACTCGAGAGACCGTCTTTTATTTTTCATTCTCTATGTAAGCTAGTTTGTCAGGTGACTCGCCTCGCTCCTCATTCGTCTCCTCAGCACTGGAAGTGTCACGAGAACATCTGCATTAGATTTCAGCTTCATGCCAGAATGAGAGAGTGCTAAACTAAGGGGTACCCCAACATAAAACCAGCATTTACTCAGCCTCGTGCTGTTACAAACCCTTATCTACATTGGAACCTTATGGATTTAATGGTAGACAAAAAACAGGGCATTTTTCTTAATATCTTCCATGTTCTGCGGAAGATATTTTGAGAAGCATCTGTGTTTTGCCCATACAGTGGCAGTCAGGGGTAACCAGAACTGTTTGGTTATAGTGAGTAAATGATACATTTAAATTTTTGGGTGCAATAACACTTAAATAGCCAATAGCCTTTAGTTAGCCCAGCAAAACTGATTACCCCAAGCAAATTCCTACTTTAATTACTGCCTCAATCCGGTGTGGCATGGAGGTGATCAGTTTGTGGCACTGCTGAGGTGGTATGGAAGCCCAGATTTCTTTGACAGTGGGCCTTCAGCTCATCTGCATTTTCTGGTCTCGTTTCTCATTTTCCTCTTGACAATACCCCATAGATTCTCTATGGGGTTCAGGTCTGGTGAGTTTGCTGGCCAGTCAAGCACACCAACACCATGGTCATTTAACCAACTTTTGGTGCTTTTGGCAGTGTGGGCAGGTGCCAAATCCTGCTGGAAAATGAAATCAGCATCTTCAAAAAGCTGGTCAGCAGAAGGAAGCATGAAGTGCTCCAAAATTTCTTGGTAAACGGGTGCAGTGACGTTGGTTTTCAAAAAACACAATGGACCAACACCAGCAGATGACATTGCACCCCAAATCATCACAGACTGTGGAAACTTAACACTGGACTTCAAGCAACTTGGGCTATGAGCTTCTCCACCCTTCCTCCAGACTCTAGGACCTTGGTTTCCAAATTAAATACAAAACTTGCTCTCATCAGAAAAGAGGCTTTGGACCACTGGGCAACAGTCCAGTTCTTTTACTTTACTTTAAGTTATTTAGCAGACGCTTTTATCCAAAGCGACTTACAAATAAGAAAAAGTAATTAAAACTAAAACGCTATAAATATAGGTTATAGGTCAGTCTGTGTGCATTGAATTTATTTAATACCCGAGTTTCACAATTTGAGTTGAATTACTGAAATAAATGAACTTTTCCACGACATTCTAATTTATTGAGATGCACCTGTATATGTGCAGTGCAGAACCATATTTACTGCATTTTAACAGACTGTTAGGCAAACTACAGGCCATTCATTAGACAGCAAAACAATGAAATATTTTCATGCTCTCAGATATGAGTGCAGCAGCTCCTGCCATCCGCCCAATGCTAATTAATAATTTCAAGAAATACAGCCACACAAAAATGTACGAATCCTTAACTTTATTAGCATTTTGAATATAAATTCCTGCAGTCCACAATACAAAATGCAGAGTGTACACATTGAAAAGACTGATCCCAAACCAGTTGTGTGCACGGGCACATAAAAACAAGACATCAGTACATCGAGGGGGCATGTTAAAAATCACTGCGTCAAACAGCCATAGTACCAGCATGATCTACTATTCAGGGGCTCAGGGCGAAGCAACTAGCAGGATATAGTTCATTACAAACAGAAAGAGGGGAGGAGGAGAGAGAAGAGGAAAAAAAAAAAGAGCCCCAACCTTCAGGTGCCACACTAAATCATTTTGTCCATGATATAAATCAAAAAGTCAATTCAGTGCACCAAACGCATGTACAGAGAAATAAACCAAAAACACACAAACCTATATCTCTACCACAGTCTGTGAATATGTTTTGCATCTCTCTGACCCAATGCAGTCATTCCTGTGGTGTGTCCAGACGTTTCTATATGAAAAAGTTTCTGTTCATTGATGCACACTGCTGCAAGCAAAATCAGTTGAAAACAAAACAAAAAGGAGCAACGAAAAACCCACACTGGAGTCAGCTGTAAATGAATCAGACACTGCACTTGGAAAGAAACAAAACAAACACGCTTGCCAAAGGCTGCACTGAGACCAGTTGAACATCGTCAGGAAAGAGAAGAGTAATCCGTCATAGGCTGTTGTAAAGTGAGGTATGAACGTGACGGTCAAGTCCAGAGTAGAACTGACCTGGTTGCAGTATTCCGGGTTTAATAAACCATGTTTGTAGCAGCATTAAGTTCTGAGAGGAGACCCAGTCACTGGACCGATCAGCGTTCCCTGACATGGAATTTAACACGTCAAAAAAAAAAGCATGAAGAAAACTAAACAAAATCCCAAAACACATCAAGCAAAAGCTGTCTGAGTGGACTGTAATGGGACAGAAGTGACACAGCTGGAAATGGAATGAAGTAGCATTTTCTAGTAAAAGAAGAAGAAAAAAAAAGTGGTTAAAGTTTGCATGTCTAGTTCACAGATTTGGGGCTGATAAAATTAAATGCACTGCTGGTGTCAAATCACTTGCGGTGCCCTTTTTGCAACAAGGACCAGTAGGTGGTAAAATAAAAAAAAATTTAATTTTCAAAAATTAATACCAATCATTGTCCTCCAAAAACATTTTGAACACAGCCAGAAAAGCTAACTGCTCCTTAGCACATCCAGTAAGCTGACTTACACTTAGAACGGGCAGAAACTGACTACGTAGCATTGCGTGCCAGTGAATTTATTGCAGGAATCAGTGAAATCATGATGGTGGCGAGTCGGCGGAGGGCATTATTAAAAAAAAAAAAAAAAAAAAAAAAAAAAAAGTCAAATGTTTCATGACAAAGCATTCAATGATATGTTGATTACAAGTTAAAAGTCCTCTAGATTATATTCACTCAAAAAATACGATCATTTTATTTCTAGCCTGAATCACGGAGTAGCTAAAAAAGTTTAACTGGAGACAGAGAGTTACCACACACGCGCACACACAACCCAAGTAAAAACAACAAGTAGGTCAGTTCACCTTTGTCCAGTACACAACATGAATTTCACACAACCTACCATATTTTAGATTTAGACTTGTAAAAATAAACTTGAATTCTCTAGGCCTGAAACGGTTGCTTGCGAAAAGAGAAAACTTCAGTATTTTGCAAATCGCTTTGTGTCAAGCCGCCATCAGAGCATATCTTTGTCCAGTATGACAGACACTTTCGACCAATTAGCCATCGAGTGCGAGACATACACGCGTGCATGCATCCACGAATGGACATACAGTATTTTGAGTCTTTTTCCAGTGGTGTTACACAGAGAAGGCGCATGAAGTGTGCAAGCCTCCCTGACGCTAGAGGGCGCTAGAGCGTAAAGGTGAATTGGAGGGTGAGGGTGGCACTAGTGTAAGAGGAAGAGGGGGAATGGGGAGGGTCAGTCCAGCTCTGGTCAACAGGAAGAAATAACGTTGGATTGTGAGGTAGCACATGTTGCTAGTTACTGTTCCTCTTCCTCCTCCTCTTCTTCCTCCTCAGAGGACTTAGATGGCTGCTCCTCCTTCTCCTGAAGAGACAGACAGCAACAAACGGTCAGATGAGAGAATAACATTAACATTTGCATTACAGCATGCAAATTACAACAGACTTTAATCGGGTTAGATGCCATATTGAATTTCATGTGGATGAAAACAAGGTTGTGAGGGACAGACTCAATCTTTACAATGGCACGCACTCCTAGATCATGTCATTTTCACAACTTTCAAAACCGTATCATGGAGGTTTTGCCTACTTAAAGACATTTCGTCAGCTGAGCAATCAGTATATTGAACACTACAACCTATAACACACTGTACTTCAGTCCCTCTCAGCCTCAATTTCATTCTTGTCAAATTAAACATGGCCCTACCCTGACTATAGGCTTCTTTGTAAGTGCAATTAGTTTTTCTTTACTTTTTGAGGTGAAGTGTGACAACTGCTGTCTATTATCTCAAATCTGAGAGAGAGAAAAAAATAAAACCTTTAAGATACTAAACACCATCAGAGTCGCTGACTCACAACTTGCACCAGTAACTTAAAACAGTCTTCTAGGCAACTATGGGTCACAGCGAGGCTGATGCAAACTCCAACACTTTGTGGAAATGCTCAAAGGGGACACATGCGAGAACACTCCTCTCCTAAGCCATTAAACATGAGTCACAAAGGCATTTTAACATTTTACCTCCTGTCTACTTAGTGTGAATGAGTAAGTGGAGGAAACGTCCCGGCATGGCCACGATAACTAGGAGGTGTGTGTGACTCAACTTGCTGGATTCCTGCGGACATGTTTGAATGAGGAAAACTAAACTCCAGCGCCAGAACCGTGCCTCATGTGAGAGGAATGCAGCACAAAGACACAGGGCTGATGACTACACAGTGAGCTGTCGAGGAAACGGGGGAGCGGCACTGGGCTCTGCCCGATTACATGCCTGACTTAACAGCAAAATAAAAGGCTTCAAGATATTTGATCTGTTCTTATAAACAAGACCGACAGGAGAAACGAAGGGGGAGAAAGAACTGCAAGAAATCCCTCGTGAGAAGCAGCCAAATGTTTTTGTTGCTGCCCGTGGCAACTTCCCACCACACAAACACCCGTTCAGCCTTGCGGTTTTCGCTATAAATGGCACACGAAATGCACCAAACGGAAAACAAATGAAAACTCACTGCTTTCTTGGGCCGTCCTCTGCGTTTCATCCCTGCAGGTGCCGAAGCCGTAGCTGTTTTCTGAAAGAGAAAGAGAGAATAAACAAGGTGCTCTGCGTGCAGTTGAGCACCAGAGGGCGATGTTGGGCTCGTGCTGGCAGGCGGCCCAGGGGCAGAGAGTTCATTGGCTATTATATTGGAAACGGACATGAGCAGCACGCAGTGCACTTCAGTTTGCCGGCCACCTGGTCTGGAGCTGAGAGACAGCTGGTACAAGCGGGCGAGATGCGCATGCACACAAACAAAGGGAGAGGTGGTAGGGTTGGTGGGTCAGCTGTCGTCATGACAATAGATGGAGGGGAAGGAAGGGAAGAAGCAGGGGGTGGGGTTATCATCTCAGAGACAGCACTGCAGCCTGTGCACCTGCAACACACAGTGCCTGCTACGCCACAGGAAGCTAGCAGGAAGTCAAAAGATTCAACCGGAATTGAGTAACTGGTTTTATCTGCAGGCTCCAACGAAAAAACAAGACTGTTCATATCATGAGATGTACCAAAGATGAGGAGCCAAGAATCTGATTGTAAACAGGCATGCTTACACTTATGGAAAAAAAAAAAACTAACAAATTAGGCCCAATTACACTCCCAAAATTAAAGGTACCATAAATTGGATTTACGGTCATTCCATAGAACCACCTCTTTTTTTTGGTGTATGTGACAACCTCTATAAAGAAGTTGTTGTGCAATAAAAAGGTTCTGTGGATGTTAAGTTTGTTATGGAACCATGGATGCCAATAAAGAACTTTAATTCGTAATAGAGGGCCGGGAGACAGATACAGGTTTGTCGGTTTCTCGTCGTTGATGGTAATATCGTAGAGGTGGTAGCGGTGCACACAACCACTGAAACATTTCTACTCACTTTGCCCCTAGATGCCGTGGAGCTTGGCTTGTTCTTGCTGCCCTTTGGTCTTCCTCTAGGCCTCTTCGGTGTGGGAGATCCACTTGCCTCCTGCTGAAGATCGAAAAGGGTAAATAACCAGAAAAATAAATAAATAAAAATATCTGTACACAAACACGAGTCCACTGTTGGTTACCATATACTGAAGGATAACTTAAAGCATCTGCTGTTCATAGTTAACACAACTGGTTGCTACTTTTAGACCAACAGGTGGCATGCAGTTTGCCAAAAGAGAATCATATACACTGCAGACCAACTATCAGTGTTATACCAGTTAAAGGAGCAGCGCAGGGTCAGTGTAAAGAATACTTCCTGACAGATCCATGCAAGTGGATTGTGTGAGCCAACAGTAAATAATGCACATCAAGTCTGCTGTGCATCTCAAGGACAGGAAACCAAGTTTACGTCACTTGACTTCGAGAGAAGAGCGTGCAAAAGATCAGCACACTTGTTAACATTTATAGGCTTTCAGTCATTTGACAATTTTACAACTACACAATACTAAACAGAGCCTGGAAATGTGTGTGTGTATAGTAATAATAATAATAAAAAACCCTTTACTGAAAAAGCAGTTACATCCTAATTTCTGAAACCAACCACCTACAAAAGCACAAACTGAGAATCCACTTGAGTTACATGCCTAGACAAAGGCCTGAAATATACTGAAAGTTAGCCATTTAAGCACGTTACATATGGCTGTTGCCCACTTGTATAAAAATGAACATGAATTACTCACAAATGCTTAAAACATTGTTAAACGCCGTGTGTAAATGCTAAAGAAGCTAAGATAGTGATAAGTAATCCATCTTGCTGTACGATGGTGGCCATGGATTACTACTAGAAGGCTCGGATTACACGAGCAAGTAATAGAAACTTTACACCCAATGCACTCTTGAGGCCCTAATGATTGACAGCGGGATGAACCAATCAGATGCTGGCATTTCCCAGCGGCCAATCAGCGCGCAGCTGAAACAGTAAGTGGGTTACTGCTGCTTTAAGACATCACGTTACAGGCCTCGGTCACTCTGCCGTACAGAGGACCACTGCACATGTTCAGCGTGTGCGACCGAGTCCAAGATGCACCAAAACAGAGATCTTAATCTCATAAAGCGCTTAACTCATAGGCTATGTCAAGTAGCACACTCAAAAAATGGTTTGGATGTCCTCAGCCCATGTGCAAGACCCCCCAAAAATTAAAAGCACAACACACACTTGCAGGCGTCTTTTTAGCCCAAAATACAAGCTACGGGCGGCGTCCGGCTCTGACCTGCGGGTGTTTGCGGGGCCTCCCGCGTCCTCTCTTCTCCGCGGCGTCCGTCTCTCTAGGAGCCGCCGTGTCCTTGCCGGAGTCACTCATCCCGCCTCGCTGCATGCGCAGAGTCGCGAGATCTGCTGGAAGCAAAGACACCTCAGATCAATGACTAGGCGGCCGTTTGGTGAGAGAAGTCGAAATTAACTTCACAGGGAGTGCGCGGGACGACCGGCGTCCCGTTTGTTTACAACACGCGCTAGGCCCGAGCTCAAACAGACACGATGTCGGTTACAAACCAAACATATTTAAATCGCGGCGGGTCCGTTTAAACAACTGGATATTGATACCTTAACCGAGCAGATATGCAGGCCGTCGGAGGCTCGCTGTGCTGCGGCGGAGCTTTAAAAGAGAAAGCTAGCAGGCGAACGGCGGTTTCTACGGATACCCCGCAGCTCCAGCGCGAACCGGAACACGAACACAGCGCGCGATTCGCGCCCTTTTAAATCCCCGAGCGCGTGAAACACGGTTCGGTTGTTTACACTGCGGAGAGCTTTAATCGACACAACATATATAAAAACCAAACACCGCTGCTGTGTGTGAAGCATCGTTTCTGAAAGTGTTTTCAAAACCCCCAAAAATGTGTTTTAAAAGAATTACAATATGTGCGGTAACTTGTATTAAAAACAGCGTTGGTTTGAGAAGGGCGTGGACTGCATAGACTTACCAAAACTGGGCGCGTGTTATAAATTACAACGAAACCCGCGCCACACGAGCCCGCCAATCCGTTTAGTGTCTGTTAGTCCCGTTCAACTGTGCCTAAAAACCAATTACACTTATTTCTGTTTTATTATTATTATTATTAATTTTATTTATTTTTGTTGCAGATTACAAACATTTCTAAAGCCAGCTTGAAAATAAATAAGTGAGATTTAATACGTACCCTTTCAAAAGGAGCGGTCGGGACGACGTCCAAAGCGTGTAAACCGCGCGAGCTGCGAGCTGCGAATGAATGAAAGCCAGCAGCCGCCTGCCTTCCTCCGCGAGGGGGCGGAGCCAGCGCCGGGGGGCGGGGCCAGCGCCGGGGGCGGGGCGTGCGTGTGAATCGTCAGGAACCAGCAGCTGCATCAGTGGTTCCTGACCTCACACAAATGCGTTTCCAAGTCTCCCATGAGATCTGTTTTATTGTGTATTTATGTATGCCTCAATGCAACGCATACTATACTTTGCTGTAGTATTTGCTCATTTTCAGTTTCAATGTACACACTACCGCTCAAGAGTTTGGGATCAGAATGATTTTTAATGTTTTTTAAAGGAGTTTCTTCTTATGCTCTTAATTGCGATACTTTTCTCAGGATTCTTTGATGAATAAAAAGTTAAAAAGAACAGCATTTATTCAAAATAGAAATCTTTGCTATCACTTCTTATCAATTTAACACATCCTCGCTGAATAAAAGTTTTAATTTCTTTCAAAAAAAGAAAGAATAAATATTTACTGACCCCAAACTTTTGAACGGTAGTGTATATTGTTAGAAAAGATTTATATTTTAAATAAATGCTCTTCTTTTTAACTTTTTATTCATCAAAGAATCCTAAATAAACTATCACAGCTTCCAAAACATTATAAAGCAGCAGCAGTTTCCAGCACTGATAATAAAGCAGCATATTATACTGATTTCTGAAGATCATGAGACACTGAAGACTGCAGTAATGATGCTGAAATCACTATGTGGGAAGATTTGCATAACGCCGCCTAAATGTTCACGCAAAGAAAGAAGGCGTAACTTTTATTCTCGCTGTAGTATTGTTGTTGCCGCCACCATGTCGTGAAGACACTGTGTTTCGTTGTAAAAAGCTAAACTACTTTGTTTGGCCTTCCAAAAGAGGACACGACTAGAAATCGGTGGTTAAGTTGTATTTACAACACTGTTCCAGAAGAATTCAACCCAAATATTCAGATGTGTGCAGCACATTTTATAGAGGACTGTTTCCTGATCCTGGGAGAGTAGACTACAATGCCGGCTGTTCTGACTCACAGACTGTAAGTACGTTTTTTATATTTAAATAATTTGCCACTGATGATTCAAACGCGAGTTTTGGGCAGTGTAGAGTAGCGCTTGTTTGTAATTTCTCCGATCACAAATGCAGACATGGTTTTATGTTTACGTGGCGCGATGCAACATGTAAAAAGACAGTATAAGTCATTATAATCCATAATTCTGTCACGACCACTATCGTCAACGATGATTGACAATTAGCTTACAGTTTGGATTGGCGGTATGGTTCTGTTCTGGGCAAGAACTCCCTGCGCCTCCATGCAGCCTAGCATGGATGAGAGCAGCAATAACCTCTCAATAATGTTATGTACACATTTTAGAATTAGTCTGATTCAAAGGAGAATCAGAAGGCTGAATCCTGACTGACAGAGGAGGAGCTGGGGATGGAGGAGGGTAATTAGCTATTGAGCAATGCGAAAACTGCTGATAATACTGAGGGACCTAATATACTGAAAAAAGTTTTTCAAGCAGTACTTCATCCATTAGCGACACCGTTTTGTCACCGTGATTGTGTGTGAATTCAACGAGCTGTAGATGAGAAGGTGGAAACTTCGTTTTAGATAAGTTAGTTGTATGGACGTTATTTTCCACCATTTACCTTTTATCGCTCTTTCTTTTCCTCGAGAGACTGTGATCGGCGAAAATTGTTGTTTGTCTAAACGACGGGACATTTCTCATCCGTTAGCTAGCTAGTTTTCTCACGCGCCTGCATAACATAACCGCGCTTGAACCCCGGACCAGTGAGTTCGACTGAGATTATTTCTTAAAGGTCATTTTTTATAAAAGTTATTTAAACATCCTAATTTAACCTAAGGCCTAGTCCTGGCTTAAGCTAAGCCCTGTCTGTGAAACCCTGTCTCTATGTTCAAACATGGAAGTTATACAAGAACGAAACAATGTCGTTGTTCACATCAGGCATGTACATACATTTAAATTACTTTATGCACTAAAATGTACACGTATGCCACCTCACAGCAAAACTCCAGATCAGCAGTATGTCATGTGGGTTAACTGAGACCTGTTCTGAGGAGGATCACTTTATTGACTGGCGCACTGCACAATTAAATGTAAACCCTTAAGTCACATGCCCTTATAAAGACTATAACTTTAATGTTTGCTCTTCACAAAAAAGTTGTCAATGACAAGCCTCACATCACCTAGATGGTATTTCAAAGAGCAGCTCTTTTTACAGTAAAGCAGGTATGTATAAGTGCATTCATCCCATGTTGTATTTGCCATAATTACAAGATTCCAACTTGGAAAAAGAATTCATGTCCTTGTAGAACTCATAATTGCCATCTGTAATCTGGGTAATTATGCTTCTACGTGTACCACGTGACTGTACCTGACTGCTGCAGATTAATTTAGGCATGGGTAGTGTTGCCATAGAAACGCACAGTTCCCGGTCCAAGGACATGAACAGCTCTAAGTAGAACATGGTGTGAACGCAGCATATGATCTGGAGTATTTGACAACAGCATTATCTAACTGACTTGATAATGTCTTTATAGAACGGTTTCTCCCTCTCTCTGACAAGATGCATCCTGACTCCAGTAAGACTCCTCAGCGTTGATCAAGCAAGTCCACATCTAACCCAGCTAGAGTGGGAATCATCTTGGAAGAAAACTTTGTAATGGATGAACTGACCGATCTCAGGCCTTCTATGTCCATTTTGTCAGACTGATTTATGCCCTGCACCTGGACTAAGTGTATGAAAAGCACTTTATATTTTATTCAGCAGGTAATGCTCAACCTCGGAAATGGTGAGTTGGCACCTACAATTCAGTACTGCCAATATATTGAACTCAGAGTGGAATAAAACCATATAGTTTTGATGCCGTTTGTTGTGATTCTGAGATCAACTGTTTTATGTTAGTTTTTTCATGTTTTATGGGGAAATGTTTTCAGATAAAAAAATTCATGTTTTGTTGTGTTTTTAAATTAACATTTGAAATTGAATTGAAATAAAACAGAAAATTGCATGAATGTTCCTTT